ATGTGTTAGTGGTTGTATTTTAAATGTACGTGTTGACTGTCAATTAATTAATGCACAATACCGAGAAACTAGTAAAAATAAACAAACTGATTTTTCCGGGAAGTGTTGTTTGTTTTTTTGTTTTTAGAATTACGCGCAAAGCTACATGAGGGGTATCAGAGATGAAGCTAGGAAATAATATTTTTAGCATTATAAACCCATAAGCTTACCGCTGAGCCACCAGGGACTTAGCAATAAAAAACAAGTAAACATTCCAAAACACTATGACGATAATTTAACTTCAAAAAGGAACAAATTGGCTTATCGATCGGCCTTTGTTTTGTTCAATATTATTGTACCAGGTCGTCATCATGAATGTCATAATTAGATTAAATTGTGATTATTTTTTTATTTCCATCATAAGAATAAATTACTGTTAAACGATTTGTATTATATAAATGTATATAAAGTAATGAAATACTCATTTTTATCTTTATTTGAAAAGAAAAAAAAATAGTTCTGTAGTTTTTCACTTCGTGTTGAAAATGTTAAAACAAGAATAAAATGATTTGTCGTCATGGAAGTTTCTAAAAGTACCAAAAGTTTTGTGTTTTTGGATGTATATTAGAGTTTGTTTCAAACATTTGATGACCAGAGGTAATTAAACATAACTTTTACAAATAATATCTAATTTTTTCTTCCAAAAATACATTATTATTTTTTACTGACATTTTAGGGTTGTGTTATTTAAATGAACTTTTACGAAGGAAATTGGAATATAGTTAGAGGTGTTTGTTGTTGTTGTAGTTTGTGATTAAGCACAAAGCTACACAAAGGGCTATCTGTGCTCTGCCCATCACGGTATCGAAACCCGGTTTCCAGCAGTATAAGTTCGCAGACATACCGCTGTGCCACTGGGGGCAGACGTGTTTGTTTATTTCGTTGTTAAGCACAAAGGTATACAAAGATCTATCTATACTGTGCCCACCACAGGTATCAAAACACGGGTTTTAGAGTTATAAGCTTTCAGACTTACCGCTGAGCCACTGGGCAGCAGACTAGAAAGAAGGTAAGTAGTCAACAGAACTCACCGCAAACTCTATGGCTACTATTGTCTAATTGAATAATGGGATTTGACCATCAATATTATAAAACACACGTGACACCAACGTGCTGAGCATATTTTTGAGGCAGTGGGCCGCGAAACATGAACCATCGAACTGACAGTTGAATTACGCTAACTAGGCCACGTCCAGCTCTATTGGAAGTCGAACTTACAGTTGAATTACGATCACTAGGCCACGTCCAGCTCTATTAGATGTCGAACTTACAGTTGAATTACGTTAACTTGACCACGTCCAGCTCTATTAGATGTTGATTATTGTACTTCGGCCTTCACAAACAAAACCAAAACGAACTCGATATTTGATCACGTATACCACCTCCATACTATTTTAGGGAGATGATTAGTTTATTGTATGGCGCAAAAGCTACACCATAGGTTGATTATTTGTGTTCTGCCAACTGCAGATATCGTAAACCAGGTTTTAGCGTCATAAGTCCTCAGACGTACCGCTGAGCTACTGGAGAGCATTTTAGAGAGAATGTTATCACGAAGACTTTGTATAGGAGAAGAAAAAATCTCCTATTACCATATACTGAATATGAAATTATGTATCTTACTATATCATGGAAGGCATATGATTATCTTTTTTAAATTATCAACTCGTAGTTGTTGCTTTTATGTAGCTAATGATATAAGGTTTTGAAACTAAAGCGAAAGAAGAAGAATCCACAAGAAAATAAATTTCGTCTTAAATATATCAACATGTTCCAACTATGAAAGAAACTAATTTAATCAACCAACAATTTGTATAGATTTTTCATTAAAATATTTTACCTATAGATACTGTTGTAACGTGTTCTCTCACTTCTATCGTTCGGTGGGTTCATTTAGATTACTTAGTGAAAATATTTCGAAGTCCAGTCCACCTAACCGTAACAAATTAATATATTTCTTCCTTAACGTTTGCTACAGGCTATTAATTCTATCACTTTTACATATTTCTAGGCCTAAGTTCACAAACAAAGTTTTCATTTTCAACAGTAATCCACTCGCTAATGGTACTACGACTAATTCACAAATATATATATGTACAATTTCACAGTTAATCGATCGACTAACTGAATATGCGCGATAATTAATACTGATCTAAATATTTCACTTGCTTCTCAATCACTGAATGAACTCAACTCAACTCTTGACTGATTTTGATACTTTTAATGTACCTTTTTTCTAAATATTAGTCAAATTTACTAGATCTAAACCTCATGCACCTTCTAACTAACGTCTGTATTAAAACATTGAAAATATGGCTTACAACAATATGTTTAAAAATTTTAAAGCTGAATATTTTTAAGGGCTAATATGGCATTTCAATTATGATAATAAAACATGAATGTTCATTTTGACTATAGTAATAATGCTTTCACCATTTGTTATAAGCTGATCGAACCTAAGGTTTACGTTTTTGTTTTAGACCATGTGTGTATTAAATATATTATAAATTATTAAATATATATCCTGTTATTATAGAGAAAGAACTAACCATGAACACTGAGGGATACCACATCCGAGATATTGGTCAATGCACCAACAAATCCGTGACATAATTGATGTGTACATCAATGAAGAGCAGTAAAAACACCGATAAATATAAATTAAAATTAATAATTCAGTATCACAGTACAACCGTATACGTCTCTCGGTGGGTAAGCCGTGAGTTTACGGATTTAAAATGATAACATGAGAGATTCGACTTTCCGTGGTGAACAGAGCGCAGATATCCCATTGTGCAACTTTCGCTACAAACAAACTAACGTATAAATGATGTGTGAATGAATTCATAAAGATGCGACATCTATACCTTGTATGATATAAAAATGTGTATCCCCTCCCCCAAAATGAAGGCTCTTTAAAGGTAAATATACATTTATTATTGCAGATTTTATATGGTCAACTAAATTATGTTTCATACTCTCTCGTTTAGGAACATTTTTATTTGCTAGCTTAGATATATGGACTATACACAAGGAACCCAACCACAAGATAAAGATTTAGAAAAGCTAAGGTTCTTTTATTAATCAATCAATTTATAACATTTTAGCCGAACAACTTCGGTTCAGTATGAAACTTTTTTTCGTATGCATATAGCTGATATTTAAATTGGCTCTGAATTGACATGTAATTAGGATAGACACAATTTAGTATACGAAATTTACAAAACTGCTTGACTTTGGTGTAAAATATTTATGGATTGTAAGAAAACATATGTAGGATGGAGCCGTATTCAAATTCAGAGGCTGATTGCGTTTTCTTGAAAGGCTTTTGGAGGCTCTGCTCATCGTTACAGTCCATTTTGCCCCGTCCAGTCATGCTCTATATGACGGCCGCAAATCTTGACAATAGTCCTGCAGCATAGCTTCCATAGAAAAAGGCTCTATTATAAAGTTTTCATATCAAAAGGACATCACTATTTCCTACTATTTTCAATAATATAGTGTGAGAGGATGATGGTTTCCCAAGACCCGTTTCAACAATCTGATCACACAGAAATCCATGGGTACTGCATCTTCATATAGAATAGTATGAATACCAGTTTCGTTCTCCAGTTAGTTGCTTGAGTATGCGATGGTTGAATGGGAAGTATTATTGAAATCCTTATCTTGGTAAACCTGTATTCTGTTGGCTAAATTTCCAGATGGAGATACTTCTTGATTATGTTGTGCACTGTTGCCTAGGGCACGTGAACAGCTCTTTCCATTGACCTTCGTATTCACGAATTCTCACCTATTAAAAGATTTCACACTTTTATCACCAAGGTTGTGGAAGGACTTGTTGTAGTTCTCTTTTTGGATGGTTTTGGTGCCACAAGTTGATTAAAACTTCTTTGTATTCCAATGCCATTAAGTAAAAGGGATGTATCGATCTTAAAAATTCTGAATCTTCGACCTCCACACATATCTATGGTCTGTGTGTGTGAATAAGTTGCGTTAGAATGTGCTTTTATACACCCTTCCCAAAAGCGTTCAACTTTCGGTGGCATCACACTATCTACGTATCGCCAAACAATGTTAAAATATAGTTGTGATACATACTGTTCTACCGCAACTTTATATCGACTGTGGTTATCACGTGACTTGCTAATTACCCTATTCAAAATCGTTTTACTAAACCGTACTCAATCCTCTGTACTGACTAAAGTTTTGAAGATGCTCAGGAAATCCATAGTTTGCATCGTAATTCATTTATTTGTTTATTTAAAATAGATTGTCCTTATTTTTTACTGTCGACCATAAACTAAGGGAGGTGACAAAAAACACACACACACACATAAAAACGACCATTTCAGCAATGCATTTGGCAAACTCCAAACAAATTATGTATTTAAAGTGTTGGGAAACATATCGCTATGACAGTTAAACCTTAGTCATCTCATATATAGGTATATCCTTGGAAAAATAACAAGGGACAAACAAGTGACAAAATCCGAGTACAGAAGATATATAAGCATCCAGAAATATATATCTTACACACTTTCTTACGGGTGACGGAAAGAATAAGATTATTGTACATTTTACATTTTAATTACAAGCAAAATTGGAAATAAATTTTCAGTAAACGTTTAATGAACCTAAGTAACAGAAAAACGAGTAGTTCTCATATACATGAACCTGCTTGAGCCACTTAGATAACGTAAACCTTCACTTAAAACGAATAACGAAATGTTATATGACAGTACACATTATTTCTTGCATCTCACATATGGCATATCCCATTTGTACATGATCCACGTCACTTTTAAACGCCGACGTTTGAAAACAAGCTAGCCATTCCAGTTCTCACAAGAATCAAAGCTAAAACTAGGCATAAGTGAATGTCGTAACGTATATCACTTTGTAATTCGATGTGAGAAAAAACATATTTTAAATTTCCAGTCGGGTATTTAAAGACTTCAGTAGTTAACACCAGGTGGCAAAGACATCGTTATTGCGGCATTGCATAGACAGCTGATGTGGGTTAGATGGTATCCGCATAAGCCGTAAGTATGAAGTGCAAACGAAAATTACTAACGTTGAACTATATCATATGTTTTAACTATTGAAATTTTTTTATTTTAAGAAAATAAGTTTGAACCAACCACCAAAAAATAGACATCTGAAACCTAAAAACGAACTTTTTAAATTGTACAGTACCGAAATTGTGCTTTTGACGAATTTGAGCATTTGTTAAGACTTGGAAATGGAAATTAACTTAGACTTACTATTAGGCTAGACTGGACAGAGAGTGAGATTGAAAGTGAAAGGCTCGAGATAGGTTTTCTATTAAACTAGTAATAATATTAGTATTACTGTTTCATATATCACTGTAGAGCACGATAACGTTAGAGCACATTCTAATTCTGGTTTATCATGCTTCTTAAGTTCTTTATAAATAATAGCATAAGTGTGATTTAAAATTAGTAAGTTTAAAAATAAAATACCTCCAGTGCTACATCTTGCAAAGTTGCACTTGCAGGCTAGATATTTTTTTAATATGTAAGATGTTTTATTTGCAGGTAACACAAGCCATATAACTTTAGACTATGTTGTAACAGCTCTCTGAGACAACATTTTGGTCTTTAAATCATACTTTAATTTTGAAATAAGTAACTGATCAATGGAAATGGAGGCATCAAAGATAAGCTTGGTGTCATCACATCACAAACTTTACCTCACCTTCAGCATTCAGGAGATACTTGTGTGATTTTACCAAAGAAAGAACAGTGGTAAGTGAATCCATTAATAAAAATACTAATTCAGTTAAAAAGTTAGTATAATTAACAATAGAAAATGTTACATGTCATTTAAAACTATAAAAAGTTTACCATCTAACCTAGTATGACAATTAGACATTGACTTACAACAGTGATACATTTGCCTCAAACAGTCATAGTTTTAATTAATTTTGTAAAATTTACTGTTTGTCAATTGACATTTTCCTTTACTTTCATTCATTGGCTCTTAGAACAACATTAGAGGGCATGCCACATATTTTCAAATAGGATTTACAAAATTGTCAAGAAATGTAATTTTAATAATTTCTTGACTGGGATGTAGGTACATCACTCTATTAAACTGCGCTTAACCTTAAGGATATATATTTCAACTATATATCTGTTCTTGGCTAGAGTGGAAGATAATTTATAAAGATATAACTACTATTTTTTTCCTTTGTTTTTGACATTATATATATATATATATATATTTGACATATTTGAACATAATCCATTCTATGATAAAAATGTGATACTGAATTTAAGCAGTGAGATTTGGTCATTTTGGTGAGCTGGGTTAACACTTGGAACTTGCCTGTCAGTCTTAATAAAGATAAAGTTATACATATTGGTTACCACAACATTATTTTTTAAATTTGTGGGGAAAGTTTTAGGTGAAGTTCACAATGAAAATAACATGATATAAAGCCTTCCAGCCAATTTACATTAACTAGTAATAAGATTATCCAAGAATTTAGGTTGTATACACAGAAATACTGAGTACAAGTCAAACTAGGTCAGCATTTCACTCTCTTTGGTGTTGTTTTACTTTGTTTGGACTATTATGTTCAGTTTTGGTAAGCTTATTAAGAAAGGGTGTTGAATTGTTGTAGAGAGTTCACAGAAAAACTGTCAGAAGGCTTTCAGGTTTAGAGGGTTATCACATGGGGATAGGCTGAAAGCCCTTGACATGTGTTTGCTTGAGATGAGAAGGGCATGGGGGACATTATTGAGGTTTTTAAATTGTTATAGGTGTGGAATCCATATATCTAGATGAAATTTTTTGTGTATTTCTATAACAGTAGAAAACAGTCTCTTTCCATGCACATAGAAAACTTCAAAAGATGACCTCTTGCAGAGAAGAATGGTACAGTTTTGTAGGTATAGTTTTTGTAGGTTTGAAGGGAATTCTTCTGATGGCATATTATACTTTGAATATTTCATAATGTTATGGAAAAAATGAAACAAAGTGAAAACAACCATAAATATTTAACCACCCATCAAACAAAATTGACAAAACAAACTTCTTGAAAGATTAGGATACACTGGACTCGATATTTAAATAAAATGTAATGTTTGATTCACTGTTCAAATTATTATGAAATATAACATCCATATATATATCTAAGTGAAATGTTACTAAAATAGAGAAATTTGAGACTTCTTAATTATCAATACTTTACCTTTAAAAGCTCATATGTAAAAGTATTCTGAATTGTGTAGGTGCTACATGTATACTATTAATAAGTTTAGATGTATGTGTGTGTATATAAATACAAGTATTTTGCTCTTTTTAATAAATTATTTAAGTGATAAAGATAAAAATAACCTTTATTCTTCAGATAATAATAAAACTTTTCAGACAAAGTTTTGTCATTGTGGCTCCATCAGAGTTAATAGAACAATAATTGTTCAAGTAATAGTAAAAAATTTGAAGAATATAGTATCATACATAGTATTCATTAAAGATATAGCTTTTTTTGTAAGATAAATCATATTTTGTTAAAAATATGATTTATTGAAAAGATAAAAGCTACAATGTTTTACTAGATTAAGAGCTGCCTATTAATATCTAGGTATTTTGTGGGAAACTTGTAATGAAGTTTTTCATTAAATTCTATTCTACATTGCATACATTGTGTATGACACAACTTAGTTATTTTGTAATGGGTGTATTGTTCTATACAATGCATTCATTATGATAATCATGTAGTATATGTGTGTAATACAAGAGTGTAGTTGTAATGGCATGTTATGGGAAATAACCTACATATAAGTAGTTCACATATATAATTATCTTTGTTATACAGACATAAATCACTTTTTTTTTTCTGGTACATATCTTAACAAAATAATTAACTTGACTAGGTACTTAAGGGGACAACCAAGTAATATAAAGAGATGATGAATGTTTATGATGAAATTGTTTTAATGCATAAATATAATATAGCTTAGCTTTACATGCATGTGCTACTGAGTTTCAAGCTTACATGTTTGAAACATTTACAAAACTTTGTATTTAAAAGTGTTTTATGACTTAGTTTAGTCAAATATGTTCATAATGTTTCAGCTAACTCAGATATGAAATCTTTCTAAAGAGCTTGTTAATGAAGACAGAGTTTTTCCTTTTGATATTTCATTCACGTTCTGAAAAAAAAGAAGCATCAATTGTATTTTCCTTCAAAACATTGTTAAATGGTGACCAGCCAAAGCCACAAGATATATCTAAATGACATGTTTTTGTGGTATTTAAATATAATGTGTTTCTATCTTCTTGTATTATTCTGAATTTAGTAGTTATTTTTGAGTATGTGCAGTTTTAACATACAGCATGGTCATGAATGTTAAGTTGATGTCATTATATCTGGCTTTTTTCCTTGTCATTCCATTGAGGTCACACCTATTCTGTTGATAGGTGACATGGCTCTAATGCTGCACAGTGTTCAATAATCCTTCAGTGGTAACTCAGGTGATATCTTGAGGTTATGGCATTCCCTATGCTTGAATGAGAATGGCCAGACATAATTGTTGAGGTGGTGTTATGTCACACAAGCGTGAGACTGAATGTGGTGGTTTTTATAGGATTCTTATAACTTTACCAACCAGAGTAACCCAACCCCAGCTCTCATCAAAGCCATTCAAGAATACTGAAGAGACACTGAAAGTACTGTTAATTGACAGTAATTATTAACAAGAGTTATCTCACTGGCAGGTGATACAGTGGGAACCAAATAAGTAGGTGACCATAGAGCAATTATGATCTTGTACAAGCTGGAAGGTATACTGCCAAGGCAACCATGGATCACTGAAGAGCCTGGAGTTGCATGGAGCCAGTGATAACCTATTTCAATGTTATTCTGGACTTGGGATTAACCACTCAGATGAGAGTCAAAGTGCCTACAATATTGTGCACATGAATTCAAGGACAGCTCAGTCAGATGATGGCTAGGAAATTGTAAGCAAAAGATTGTTGCCATGATCCCAGGTCCTGTGAATCATGCAAAATAGATCACCACCTCATCATTCAAGAGTACAGTGAAGAAGGACTTAGACCATTTCTTGAAGCATTTCAGGCAGATAACTGCTTGAAATGGCTGGATTTCAGAATAGGCTGTGCAGTGCCTGGTCTTGAGCTTAAATGGTTTGCCCCAAACTCCATTGAGTGCTTGAGCAAAGTGCAAAAAAGTCATTATAATGTTGCACTGGAGGTTTGACCCAGTGGAAAATAGAGCAATTTAAGTTCAAATCTCAGAAGAAGGGTGATACAGAAAGTTTGACTGCTTATATAGATTACCTGCACCATTTTCAAGGTAAGGCTTATCTTGTATTGGCATCAGCAGATCACAAGGATATCTTTGCAGACAAGTTGTGAAAGGGATACCCAATGAAATGATGAAACACCACCTGGGTGTGAGAGACCTACTTACCCTTACTTAGGCAATTTCTGTGGTAATGCAATACAAAATAGTAATTTTGAACAAGTTGTGAGAGAGAAAGTAGACTGTAGCAGCAGATGCAATAGCTTTATCTCAGACAGATCACCCTACCCAAGCACTGACATCATATAAGTTGAACATGACCACTGACTTGGGGAGAGTGCATCGAACAGCTTTTACTGAAAGATTTAGTGGTCAGCTCAGCTCTCTCAAGGATAGGTGGGTTTTGATATGTGTCTGTCAGAGTACAAGATAAGAGTTCTTGCTTGATACAGGAATGGCCATAACACTGGAATCTCTCATGATATATCAGGCAGGCTAAGTGAAACCACAATTTGGGCTAATCTATACAAACTGTTTTCGTTAATGGAGATAAATAAGTCATGAACAGAGAGGTGACTCTCTCTCTTATTTTGTCTTGAAGATGTTGCTCACAAAATGAAGGCAGTCATTTCTGACATAGGCTTGCTTGGAGTAGAGGTATTGCAAAGCTTGTTAGTCAGTTTTGCCCATGAAACAGGTGAACTGATTTACCATTATAGAGTTATCCAGTGCTGATTAGATCAAAACCAGAAACAGTTGGGAGAAGAAGCCACAGTATTTCATATACACAAGTGATGTACTACAAATGAAATGAAGTGTGTAATGCATTTATAGAGCCTCTGCGTGAAATAGCTTGGGTAGTTATTTTTCTATGGAAGAGCCAAATCCTAATTTTGTTCTACAATTATTGACAATTAGTTATCCAGCTTTACACTGGAATGTTCACTGGCACAGTAAGGGAAAGTAACCAAGGCTATCAGTCATGCTAGCATTGCATCTGTCACGCTATGTCCAAAAGCAGTTATAACACATCCGAAGTTGCTTGTTGATGATTGTGCAGAAAATCTGGGCTCAATGCAGAGGCAGCATCTTAGTGATTTTTTGGTTGAATATGCTGATATATTTGTGAGACCAGATGTCCAGTTGAGTCAACAGTCACACAGCATCACAGGTACAAGTGGTGCACATCTGATTAAACTACCACCACACAGACTTCTCTGGATGTACCCCATACTGAGGTACTGTGGATGTTAAATGAAGGATCATAATGCCCTAAGAGTGTGCTTAGTTGCCTCCAAAAGTGACTATCATGGAGATGGAAAGTATGCCCAGGATCTGTATTAATTTTAGATGAATGTACATGTTTTTGCTTTTCCACTTGTCTGGACACTTTAAAAGGGGCCCAGTGGTTCAGTACATGAGGTCTGGCACCTGGATGCTGGTCAGTTGAGTGAATGATAAGAGCAGGCCTAA